GGTCCTGGGATCGAGCCCCGCATCGGGCTCCCTGCTTGGCGGGAAGCCTGCTTCTCCCTCTCTCACTCCCCCTGCTTGTGTTCCCTCTCTCGCTGTGTCTCTCTCTGCCAAATAAATAAAATCTGTAAAAAAGAATTGATTTCCACTTTAAACTATGTTAAACATTTATGATTTTGAATTCAAGATATATTCAGAGAAGTCTAGCTTCTATCCTGTTCCCTCCACTCTGTTACTTCTCCTTCAGATGTAAATGTAAATTTTTCCATTTAAAAATATAAACGAATACCTATATATTCATATTCACACCCCTTTGTTAGATAATTAGTAGCATGCTAAGCATACTTTTTTCTTTTTTGTTAAAGATTTTATTTATTTATTTGAGAGAGAGAGAGAGAGAGACAGAGACAGAGAGTGCGAGAGCACGTGCAAGAGTGGGGTGAAGGGCAGAGGGAGAAACAGGCTCTCCACTGAGCAGGGAGCCTGATGCAGAGCTCGATCCCAGGACTCCGGGATCATGACCTGAGCTGAAGGTAGATGCTTAACCCACTGAGCCACCCAGGTGCCCCTAAACATACTTTTTCCCTACCTTACTTTTTTCACCCAATAGATCACTCCGTAGCAACATATAGAGGTCTTCCTTATTCTGGTTTTGTTCATTTGTTTTACGATTGTGTATAATTCCACTGTGTGAATGTCCTCTAGTTTATTTAACAAATCCCCTATGATGGATATTTGGATTGTTTCCTCAAATAATGAAGCAATGAAAAGGGTAGAAGTTGAATTTCTATGTCAAATTCTCTTCCTTGGTGTTATATCATTTTGTGTCTCCTCCAGCAATGTGTATGACTGTTATTTCCTCTCTAGCCTTGTTGGAATAAATTGGCAAACTTTTGGCTTTTTGCCAGTCTGATGGGGGTGGGGGTTGGGGGTTGGTAGTGGTCCTCACTGTCGTTTTGATTTGGCCTTCTGTTGTTATGGGTTAGTTTTAGTATGTTCTCATATGTTAGGGGCCATTTGCATTTTGTGTGTGTTTTGCTCGTATCTCTTGACCGTTGTTTTATATAAGGTTATTAGTTTTTTCTTCAGTATTTTTACAAGCCTTTAGTTACTACGTTTATTAACCCATTGTGATATAAATTACAAATATTTTTCCTCAGTTTGTCATTTGTAGTTTCATTTTTCTTATGGTGATTTTGTCATGTAAAAGCTTACTTTTACGCAATCTTATCAGTCTTTTTCCCTAATTGCTTTTGAATTTTTATTTATTTATTTATTTAAAGATTTTATGTATTTATTTGACAGAGAGAGCGAAAGAGCACAAGCAGGGGGAACAGCAGCAGGAGAGGAAGAAGCAGGCCCCTTTCGGAGGAGGGAGCCTGATGCCGGACTCGATCCCAGGGCCCTGGGATAATGACCTGAGCCGAAGGCAGATGCTTAACCATCTGAGCCACCCAGGCGCCCTTGAATTTTTAAATAAGTATAGCTACTTAGCTAGCAAAATTTTTTCCTCTTTTATATTACAGAGAAATTAATCCATGTTTCCATCTAGTATTTATATGGTTTCATGAAAAAAAAATAATTTAAATCTTCAGTCAATTTGGAACTTACCCGGGTGTATGATATAAAGAATAGATCCAATTTTATCTTTTTCCATCTTTATCTCAACATCATTTAATAAAAAGTCTACCTTTTCCCTAGTGATTTCATATACTACTTATATCAAATGCTAACATGTTTTCTGTCAGACAAATCAAAATTAGGACTAATAATTACCTATGAAGAATGCTGGCCAGGGAATTCTTGCATTGTGTGAGAGACAGGGCTAGAGGACTTTTCTCTTCCCTTTTGGAGAGACTACATTCTGATACTTGTATCAGTTGGATAATTCGCCTTTGGTTTGCATGAGTGGAAATGGGTATGGTGCTTCAAATTTTTTCAAATAGTTTTGTCTAGTTTTTATTAGTTAGAGACTAGTATTCTGAGACCATTAGTCTGAATCACCAATTTCTTTAATTATCATGATCCACTAACAATGACTCAAATGTTTTTGTAATGGGACATTTCTGAGATCTAAAATTAAATAAATGACTACAGAACTTTTATGCATGACTTTGTAAAATTAATGTTATAATAACAAAATTAAATTAATGTTCATTATAATTCACTTCTTACCCTAAAAGATTTCTCTTAATAGCTTTTTAGTGGCACATAAGTTTCAAATTGTGCAACAAATATTCACACTGACTGGATATGGAAAAGACCAGCAACATTCAGGAAATTGGCAGAGGTTCTGAGCTCTGCCAGGGTTGAGCAAAGAAGACAAGATGGTGGAGCTGTGCAGTGTGTATCGGAGTTGCTTCAATTCAAACCTTGTGGTAGGTTTCCTTCTTCTGGAAAATGATTTGAAATCAAATGCTTACTTACTTGTAGTTATTTCTAGTCACCTTTACCACTTTGTTGGAATACTGCAGTCAAAAGTAATGATGGAAACAGTTTATACAAAATGGTTGTTCTAGTCAAGAAGGGGTTTTAAATAGAAATGTATAGCTGTAATAATTCCCATTTTGACTACTGTATCAGGTCTTAATAGTTATGAACCTTCAAGGCTGGGAATTTGGACATTTTATTTCTGGAAGTGAAGAAACTGCTTTGGTTCTCAGCCAAAGAGTCACTGTTAGTATGACTCTGGGCAGGATGGGACCTTGGGAGAATAGAGAAAAGATATAAATTACCTTCTCAAGCTGGAATTTCATTTTTTATTTTTTAAGTAGGCTCCACACTCAGGGTAGAGCCCAATGTGGGGCTTGAGTTCATGACCACAAGACCAAGACCTGAGCCAAAATCAAGAGTCAGATGCTTAACTGACTGAGCCACCCAGGCACCCCTGGAATTTCACTTTAAAAGCAGTGTTTCTCTGTGACTTTTTGCAGACTAGTTTCATATACCCCAGCAAATACTAATCTATTTAATCTAAGGAGCATAGAATTATTTTTTACAACACTTATAATACTTTCAAGTAAGAAGAGTCACCATGTAAAGAAAATCACAAACTCTCCTCCCAGGAGGACTAGACAGTCAAATGCCTGGCATGCATTGGAACAGCCTGTTGGAAAATGCAGAGTTAGACTGGATGATCTCTTGAGATTTCCTTCCACCCAGTGTGTCCATAAAGAATATAATGAAGAAGGTCTGTGTAATCGACCGGTAATCTTCAATAATGTGAAATAACGTGATTTAAGAGAACCCGTCATAAAGGCACATGTTTTTAACAGCAAGAACTGTTACTTGAAGCTTCCTGCCTCACAAAGACTTTCTACGGAATGAGGATGGTCTTAAGCCAGTTTTACCATAACCAAATGCTTAGTCTCTTACTTAAAAAAAAAAAAAAATGCCTATTTAAAAAAAGCTTACTCTCTCGTTTCTCTAGAAGATTTTCAAAATATGCTGCTGCAAAAGCTGGTATATTTTCTGGTTGCTCCCTCAGAATCTCGCGTGTCAGCCCTTCAAGAAGATTCCCAAATCCTTGTGGAATTCGGTAGTGGGTGTTGGAGAATGGAATCGACATCTCCTTGGAAGGAACTGCCTATTGTACCTAGAGATTCATTAGAGAGTACTGTCTTTAAATTTTCCGATTATATTTATATAATCACAATGACGACAACAAATTACTCCTAAGCCCCAAATTTTCTGGACTTCAATTCTTTCCCCTGAACACAACCCCAATCCATCATTTCTTCGAGTTTTGAACTCTCCATTATTAATTAGAATCTTACAAATACAGACTCATTTACTAGGCCAAGTCATTTTTTTAAATTACAAAAATCACAGATTTTTCACTATAACACTAAGTACTTTTTCTCTCTGTCCCTCTTGCCTTTAAAAGGTGAGGGTAATTTCTGCTACCCCACAGGAACTCAGAGAGAAGCATTGTTAAAAATTCATCATAAATCGCCGAGAAGACACTGTTTGGGGTCTAAAATTTAAAAAAAAAATTGAATTAAGAACTAATCTTGGTTCTAGAAATTACTCTAATTTGTTGAATGAATAAGTTTAACACTTAGTCTTGCCCTTTGCTTCCACTTCGGAAGCATGACGTACAATGCCCCGAAGCACTTACATACTCTGAAAGGGGCAGCAGGGTTAGAGGGAGGCGGAGGCAAGTTCATGATTTTGCAGTCCTAGAGTCCAAGATTTTGGGATTCTTGTGTTTTCTGGTTTTGTCTTGACCAGGTCTTATCTTTCTGTCTTGGAATACAAGGACTGGATTAAGGATAGCTGTCAAGGAGAGGGTTGAGCTGCTGAGTATGCAAACGACACTCAGGGACCTGGCCTTTTTGTGAAGGTGTCAATATTTTGACAAGTCCACAAGCCGTGGAAGGGGTCTAGGTGAGGGACTCCATGGTTTAATGAGGCCCAATGTGTGGAGGATGTTTTCCTGTTTTTGAGGGAACAGGAGATGAGGCATTGAGTCATTCTAGGGTTGTGAGAAGGACAGGTAACACCCTGAACCAATCAGGACAGTGGAGGGCGGTTGGAGGGGGAACACCGGTCTCATGCGCGGCGGGACGTCGAGGATCTGGGATTTCAGACTCTCGCAGAATGGGCTGCCTTGGCGCCCAATCTGCCCTCGCGATCCCGGACTGTGTCTGGGATCCTGAGAGAATGCTAGAGGCAAAGGAAAAAGGCGAGGTCTCGGATTTGGAGAGGAAGTGGGGTAAACCGCCTCACCTCTTCGTTGTCTCAGAGCTGGTGCCGACAGTTCCAGTTGTTATTTCTCGTTGCTGGGTAACCTTTTTTTTTTTTTTTTTAAATTCAACTACGGCGGCCGGGAAGCGGAGAGGAACGGCCTCGCCCGGCGGCCACGGACCGTCTTCGCGACCGAACGGCTTGGGAGGGGTGGAGTCAAGCCTCCCCGCCCCGCGCAGGCCCCGCCCACGACCCCGGCCCCGCCTGGAGTCCGCGCCCGGAGTCGCGCGCCCGGGGGTCGGATCTTCGCCAACATGGTAGTACCGGGATTTGTATTTGGGCTGGTGCTACCTTTAATCCTGGCGGCCGGCACAAATGCAGGTGAGGCGGCCCGGCTCGGCCCAGGCCATGCCGGTCAGCCTGCGCGGGCTCCGAATTTCCGCGTCCTCTACAGGACGCGCGAACCGCTACCCTGGAGCCGGCCTTCTGACCCGGGCCTAGGCCGCAGGGGTCTGCTGGGCGCGAGTTCCGGCCGGTCCGCTTCCTCCACACCCTTGCACCGTCGCCCAGATGCCGGGTGTGGCGCAGAGGGAGATTTGGGTGTATCTGAGTGGGGAGGCCCAAATGTCCCAGACCGAGGCCCTTGGGGTCTTTGCATAGTCGCAGGGGAAGTCGAAGGGGAAGGGGGTGTGTGAAGCTAGTTAGGTAATATTTGGAAACAGGTGACTGAGTCACCCACAACGTTTCCCTGCTGCCCCCTCAGCAGTACCCTTGGGGAGGGTTTGCTTCAAGCTTGGTTCCTTGGGGGAATTATATTTGACTAGTTTAAGTGGTGATTAGGATTAGGAAATACAACCCCCTCACTAGCTTAGAATATTTAAGGCTTAGTTTTGATTTCTGGCGCAGCTTACAGATATCGGTGGTGGGATAATAGGCGTGGCATTGGGGAGGAGGGTGACTCACTTTGACTACTGTCCAGGGCCGATCCTGTCATTTGAATCCTCCAGGCTGAACACTGAGCCACAACCATGGAGAACCAGAAGGTGGAATCTGCCCGCTAATGCCAAGTAAAATGATAGTGCTGGACCTATGTTTCCTTAAAACCATTCAAATAGTGGACCCCAAAGATCCCTGCTAAGAAATGAAAGTTGAAGTAAGAATGGGGACAGGGTGCAGAAAAATGAGTGTTGCTATACCTGAGAACCCAGAAGTACCCAGACTGAGACCAGCTGTGGCCCCTCAGTAGTGTCTCAGGCCTTAACAGAAGTGTAGACCCGCAGCACTCTGCAAAGCACTTTCTGACTCTCATCCCCACTCTGACTTTTGAGTCCAGCATATGAGAGGAGAGTAGGGCCATTCTTTTATTAGTTTTTCTGTTAAAGGCTGTTAACTTTAATGCCAATACAGTGTTCTGTCTTCACTTTTGGGTCTTCTCGTTACATTACTTGCATTAACAATGACTATTTTTCATTAATGCTTTAAATTTTCTTTCCTTCTTGTTTGATTGCATATCTTGGCATCTTTCTTTCCAATCGCTGCCCCTGTGCCCATGTTGACTGTGTAATATTTGAAATGTATAAAAATATATGAGCAATGAAACAAGAAAATGAATACCCAAGGGTGCTGCACCCAACTTAAGAACTAGAACATTGCATTTTATTGAGACTCTCTGGACGTTTCTCTCCAGTGCATCCACCAGGTCGTCACCAGAGGTAACTTAACCACTGTCCTAATTTTGTCAGTCTACTTTTAATGACTACATTTAACTTCCCCAGAACGCTCATTCCTGTTTTCCACCCAAATGGTAGAAAAATTGAAGACCTAAAAAAAAAAAAAAAAAAAAATTCAAATGCTAAGTGTCTTGTGTTTGACAAAAAGAATGACCAGTCCTGCCTCCTTTCCTATTCTCCTATTTTGTCCATTGCTCAGTTCCTTGGTAATGTTCCACTGTCTACTCTTATCGGCTTGGAATGTGAGCTTTATAAGGGCAGAGAATATGACTTTTTTTTTTTTTTAATCTACCACCAGTATTTAACTGCAGCAGAGTGGAAATTGCATTAACTTTGGAACCAGGCGGCTTGGTTACTAGTCCTGTCATAAATTACCTATGTGATTTCAGGTTGGTCAAAGGAGTTGACTTATGCGGTATGCTTGGCACTGTGCCTGCCCCAAGTAAACTCCCCAGTAAAACGTAAGCTGTCTGCTGCTAGCAGAGATTTTTGTCTGTTTTTTTTTTTTCTTTCTTTTTCTTACTATTATATCCTCAATGCTTAAAGTGGTGCCTGGCACACAGTAGGCATCAATAAATATTTGTCGAATTAATTAATATGCAAGCTATTAACCTCAATTACCTAAGCTAGCCAGGTGTTAGTTTGTTGATCATGATTGTATGTTGGGGTGTGAAAGATTCTCTCTACCTCTAAAATTCTTTAACGCAGAATAGAGCCAGGCACAAGGAGGTCCAGTAAGTGTGTGTCGGCGAAAACAAGACGGACTTGGAAAGATGTGTCCCCAGCCTGGAAGACAATGGCTGCACTCAGAGCGCCCTTTATTTGCACAGGCTCATGTGGGAGCGGACAGCCAATTTCCTTCACTCCGTCCACCCCCCCCCACCCTCACCCTCTCTCTGCTTAGCTCTTAGCCCTTTAGTTTCCAGTTTTTGTTCCATATGAAGTACCTACCCAAGACTAGGCCCACCCACACATGTGCCTCTCCCCTTCCCTCCAGCATGCTGCCAACCTGCTTATGCAATTGTGAGGTGTTAGAGTCTCTTCTTAGAGCATTTTGCTTGTGGTAGCTGTGCATCTCCAGCCCATTATACAGCCTTCTGGATGATCTTTGCTCGTCATGTCGGTTTTATGATGGGACTAAAACTCATGAGAGAGAGGGAGAGCAGAGGATGTTTAGCGACTGGGCTGTTATTCAAAGCACAGGACAAATAGGCTACTGGGTCTGTGTAGGAGACCCCATTAGCTCTGCTCCCTGTTAAGCGTAGCCTAAGGGGCCATCCTTATTGGTAGCTTCCAGGGAGGAAAATGTCAGCCTTGTTAGTTCTCATTCTCTTTCCTGCCTATCATTTTTGTTTAAAGCCCTTAAAAAAAATCTTAACTTTGTTAATTATTTTCTTCTAGGGATTTCAGTCTGTTTTGTTCAGACAAAGTGGGACATAACTTAAGAAGTTTTTTTTTTCCCCTTGTTAAGTTTTGATGAGGAACTCACTGAGATAATTTGGATAGATGCTTGTTATTAATAAAATACTTCAATATAGGCTGCATGTTAAAAATAGGAATGATCTTGTTAAAGTGAGTTCTTATTCAGTCTTGTTAGTGACTCTAGAATAGAATCTACAGTTTCAAGTGCTCTCCTTCTTGTGCTTTTTATATAATTTAGCTTGTGAAATGGGTAAAATTGAGATGGAAGACCTTTGTTCTGACATTTTGACCTTCTGTTTCTCACTGACCTTATTATTTCATCTTATTTATCTGTATTTACCTTAGAAGGAAGGAGACATTGCAGATATTCATAAATGCTTATTTAGAATTTTCAGTGGGTTGTCAAAAAAAAAACACAGTAAGGGGAATTATTTGTGGGAAATCGACACTGGTAGGATGCAAAAGGGGACATAAAGAGTGGGGGGAAAGATTAGCGAAGGCTGTGTTAGAGAGAGGCAGGTTTCTTTATTCCCAGCAACGAGGAGTGGGCGTGGTAATGGAAAGTAGGGGAAGGAAGTGGTTTATTTTTCTCATAAATACCATCTGTGGGGTGTAAAAGAGGAGCATGTTAGCAATTTGGGGGGGAGAGAGTGAAGCATCAGGGCCAAGCCCAAGGGCAAAAGCAGGTCAAGAGCTCTGAGGGGGAGGAGGCTGGTGGCACATTGGTTGCCCTAGGCTCTTTGAGTTTTCCTTTTATTGGTCACCTTGTACTATGCTGCATATCTTTGGCAAGTGTTCTTGTTAGGTTGCTCACCTAATTAGAAGGAATAAGATCTAGTTTTAGAAGATGAAAAGGACTGGATATACTCGAATTGCCCTGTATAAAGACTTTATGTTCCTTGCTGTTTAAGCAGCTTCAATTGGTGATGAATATCCCAATGATGCTCTTCTAAGTGTTTGTTACATTTTTTAGATGTTGGTTTTCGCTTCGCCTCATACATCAATAATTACATGGTGCTGCAGAAGGAGCCTGCCGGGGCAGTGATTTGGGGCTATGGCATATCGGGGGCCACCGTGACAGTGACTCTGTACCAACAGCAGGAAGCCATCATGAAGAAAGTGACAAGTGTGAAAGGTAAGGCCGCTGGTCCTTTGTTCAGCTTTTGTCTTCTTCTGCCACCTGCTGGATAATCTGGAAATGAATGCTTAGGCTCCAGCTCAGGTTATCCCAGTCATCCATTTATTCATCCATCCATAAAAATTTGAGTATTTACCATGTGTTGCGCCCTGGAGATACAAAGGAAATCAAGACAAAGTCAAAGTCCCTGCCCTCCAGGATCTCATGGAATGATGGGAATAGACACCAAGTCATCAAGTGCAGCGTGATGAATACTATGAGGCAGGTGTATGTATGGTGTCATGGGATGCAGAAGAGAAACATCTAACTCAGACTGGATGGTAAGAGACGGTTTCCACAGAAGGTGCCATTTGAACTGAACTGTGAATGAAGGAGAGGTGGTATGGAGGAGGGCTGAAGAACCTAGGCTCTGGATTCCTGGCTTCAGGTTCTGACTCTGTCACGTTATGACTATATAACCTCAGGCATGTTATTTAATGTCTCCGAGTCACAATTTCCTTATTTGTAAAGTGGGGATAATAATGATATTTAGGATTAGTGCGAGGATTACATGAGTTAACACATGTAAAGTACTTAGAACGGTGCCAGGCACATAGGAAGTACTGAATACGTGTTAGCTGCCACTATTATTATTATTATTGTATTTAGCTGGTCAAATATTTATCAAGTGATACAGTAATTAGCGAGATAGATGTGGTCTGTCTCCTAAGGAAGCTTACAGATTAGGGGAGGAGAGAGAAAAATAATAAGCAATGACAGGTGAGTGCGTTAGGTGCCACAGTCTAGAAGTGCAGTGTGCTCTGGGAGTGCTTAGGAGAGATAATTCACTTAGCCTAAGGTTTATCTTGAAAGATGAGTAGGGCAAACCAGGTAGGGGGCATAGCCTGGATGGAAGCATGGAGGCATGAGTGAGCACAGGTCCTTGGAGAAATGGCAAGCAGGTCGGTGGGCTTGAGCACTCGGGTATGTGCCTGCCAGCGGACGAAGATTGGAAATGCAGGAATGCTTGTCTGTCACTGCTAAGGAGTGTATATTCTAGTTTGGATTTTGGGATTTTAAGTAGCAAAATAATCAGATTTGTATTTTAGAAAGATGACTCTGGCAGCACTGTGGAAAGTGGATTGGAGAACAGTAAGAGTAGAGGTGATGGGAAGTGTTAGCCAGTTATTATGAGATTCAGGCAATAGACAGTGAAGGCCTGACCCGAGATAGTGGCCGCAAGGATGTTCAAGAAGGTGAGAATCAGAAGCCTCCATGGGCAGACAGGTCCTACAAAGGATTCTCTGTCTAGAAGAGATAAAGCTATGTAAGATAGCATGGGGAGGAGCATAGCTGGAAGTTACTAGATGCAGGAGGCCACAGGCAGGGCTGGGTCAAGTGGAGACTGGATCAGATCTCGGTTAGAGGTAGCGATATAGCAATGGAGTGTTGAAGGTGAGAGACAGATGGGTAAGGAAGCTACTCTGGGGGGGCGGTGGGGTGAATGTGGGAGTTGGTGGTTTGAGCAGTGGCTTGAATATACATGTGACCGGGAAGCTTGTGGAAATTCTTTTGGCCCTTGAAAACAAAGATTGCCTAATCAGTTCTGTCAATATCCAGTTGAGAGTGATCCAAACCCTGGTGCAGGCTCTTTGTAATTCATTTCCATTCAACAGACATTTTTAACTACTGTGTACCAGCCATAGATGCAAGGTGAGTGCTTCTAGTTCTTGGATTTTAACACTTTTTGAGGTAAGAATGTTATTGGGTGAGACTAAAAGAGTTAAAAGGGAAGCTTAAGCTGATTGAGAAGTTGTTCTCTGTTAGATTTAAATGCTGCTGGTGACCTGTAGGATAAAATGAAAACGAGTTCAATTCAACAGATGAGCAGTGCTTTCTTTTTGTGTTGTGTCTATCTCAGAAATTAACAGCACAGAGTGTAAATACTGGTGATCTCAGTAAGTAATGTCGATTTAGAAGTCCAAAGAACGGCTGTAGTTTAAATACAATAAATAGGATTTCCTTGGTGCCAACAATTAACATACCAATACATATTTAGGAGACAGAGACTACATCGTTAGTACTGTAATGGTAGATACAGAAGATGTGTGTGTCTATGCATATATGTACGTATGTATGTGTGTGTACATATATGTACTTTATTTATTAGGCTCTCCATATTTGCTTGGTACAAAAGAAAGGTATTTATTTTATGTAGATCCATAAACCTACTTATAGGAGCATCTTGCTCTGTACTGCCCATATATATAGCATTTCAGATTTTTTTTAAATGTTCTTGTGCATTATTTTTAGTTTTTTCTCCCTTCATGGCTATTGTAGGACCAATATTTGGAATGGCCAGAGATGAGGCAGGAGGGTAGGTTGGGACGACAAGGTGTAAAAGGTAATGATTAGGGGCTGAGCCTTTCTTTTCCTTCGTGGTGATAGTGAACTTGCTCACTTGTCTTGAGTTCAATCCTATAAACATCAACTGAGGGCTTATTGTGTATAAAACCCTGAAGCCCTAGAAAATACAAAGAAGAATACAAATTGTGCCCATCCTCCAGGAACTCACTCTCTCATGCTGTCCTTTCACATTTGGTACTTTTGGTTTAAGTAATGCTTCCGTTGCTTTACTGCAAAGTGATGTGTCATTTGAAGTTAAAATATCCAGCAGCAACTTAAGGGAACCAAGTGATTCATGGACTGTTGATGGTATTTTCACAGGAAAAAGGATGTTGTTATTGGTAGCAGTGGGGGTAGATCTATTTCTTAGGCTCTCCACATCTGCTAGGTAGAGAAGAAAGGCATTTATTTTATGTAGATCTATAAACCTACCGATAGGGGCGTCTTGCTCCGTTCTGCACATGAAGCAAAATGGATAAAGTATTATTTGGAGTAAAGGAGGTAGACACATAGGAAATTTTATAGGGCAGCAAAGAAAATGTTTCTCAAAGGAAACACTACAGGGTATATTGGAGGGTTGATTTCTATCTAAATTTTGATGAGGACTCTGGGATTTTCAGCTAGACTACCTCAATTTGTCACTCTGTCTCTGTTAATATTTAACTTATTACCTATAATCAGTCCCCTGGGTGCCCATAACAAAATGGAATTAACAGCATGAAGGTTCTTGTCCAGCAGACTGACACTCAAGCTTTGGGAAAATTAGAACTTGAGGGACTGGGCCTCTTCACAACATATTGTCAAATGATGCATGATGGTTCTTTCAGACAGAAGGAATAAAATAGGGGAGGAGAAGGTATATCCTCTCCCTCTGATACACGTGGGGGACGCGTGGAGGGTGCTAAAATGAGGGTGTGTCTGGGTTTGTCATCATGACTGAGGTAAGTAGAGACACTTTCTCTAACTTAGAAAATTCCAAAAAGCTTAAACCCCTTAGAGAAGCAAAAACCTCCTGGTTGCAGTGTTAGCATGCATACTCCTTTTCTATGCTACATAATAAATTACCACAAACTTGGGTGCTTACAAGAACACATTTTTGTCCTGACACAGTTTCTAGAGATCTGAGGCCTGGGCGGGCCACCACTCAGTTGGGTTCTCTGCTCAGGGTCTCACAAGACTGAAATCAAGTGTTGGCTGGGCTGTGTTCTCATCTGGAAGCTTGACTAGGGAATTATCCACCTCAGGCTCCTGTAGGCTGCAGGCAGATTCATTTCCTTATGCCTATAGCATTTGTGGAAGCATCTCTGCTGCTTCAAATCTCCGATCTTGAGACCTTTATTTTAAAGGGCTCATCTTATTAGGGTTGGGCCCACCCAAGGAAATCTCCCTTTTTATTAACTCAAAGTCAACTGATTAGGAACTTAAATTCCATCTGCAAAACTCCTTTATCTTTTCCATATAATGTAACCTAATCATCACAAGAATGACATCTCCTCCCCCACGCCATTTTCTTTTGGTTGGAAGCAAATCACAGATTCTGCCTGCATTTGAGGGGAAGGGGATTATATAAGGGTGTGACTTACGGGGAGGGGGGTCACCTAAGGGTGTATCTGCCATAGATGCTATCATTTAAACAACTTGCATAAACAGTTTTATCACTAGAAAAATATTCAAGATTTCTTTTTTCTTTTTACATTCATATTTGGTAGCGGTGGAGATGAACTTTATACAGAATAAATGCAGGTTGTCAAGGGGAAGTTTGGGCACTAAGACCTCCCAGTCACTTCCACAAATCATTGAACTGATTTGCAGCTGGTGAAGTGCCAGGGTTTTGTGAGGGAAGAAGCAAACAGGGCTGCTTCTTTCATCTCCAGGCTTTTCCTTTTGGAAAGGGAAAGGTCATGGATAATTTTCCTTTTTCTCTTGGCATCTGAGATTTGGCACAATAACCTGAAAAATAATTAACATCTGATGTGAATAGCAAAAAGGAAAAAAAGCATGAAAGCACTTTATGACTAATCATATTTTTAGACAAATTCCTTTAATTTTTTTCCCTTTGATGATTTGTTCTTCTGATTTTTGAGGTGGGGGTTGGTCAGGGAGATGGAGAGAAAAAAATGAAGAGAGTTCTTTCTTTCTTTTTTTTTTTTTTTTAAAGATTTTATTTATTTGACAGAGCCAGAGAGGGAACACAAGCAGGGGGAGCAGGAGAGGGAGAAGCAGGCTTCCCACTGAGCAGGGAGCCTGATATGGGGCTCGATCTCAGGACCCTGGGATCATGACCTGAGCCAAAGGCAGACGCTTAATGACTGAGCCACGCAGGCGCCCCTGAAGAGAGTTCTTTACTTAAGCTCTTGGCCGGAGTATGAAGAGAAGAGGGACAGGAAGAAATAGGCCACCAGATACACTCACCGTTGGACATGGAAACATAAGTCCCTAATCAGGTTGCGTGGCTTTCTTGTTGGTGTAACTCAGGGCTGGGGTTTACTCTCTGCGGTTTACTTGATGGAGTGCCTGGCACATGGTAAGCATTCTAAGACATTCTGTAATGAAGGAAGGACATGAATCTTCCCCAATGGGAGAAGAAAGAATGTGAGGAAGCAGAGATATGAATGCAACAAAAATGAGAATTTACAGAAACCTGGGCTTGGATTGGTAAGACAGGCAGTAGGATGACAGGTGATGAGGGCCCAGAAGAAGGAACCAGAGCAGCTGTTGCTCAGAAAGCCCATCATTTTCCGCAGAGAGCCAGCTGGATGGTGAACTTACAACTCTTGGTAGTCAATGACTCAGTTTTATTATTTGGATTCAACCTAATGGACTTGGTGGGTCAACACAGTTTCTAAAAACTGTAAGTGGATTTCATCATCCTGTGGTGAGCTCCACTTTATCCAGCCAGTCCTGGACTGCTAGCCAAGAACCAATCAATTCTCCTTGGGAAACAGGGTGACTTTTGCCTTTGTCATCCCACCCTTGCCTTTAGTCTAAGAAGCAGCCTTCACGGGGGTTGCTCTCCTTTGTATATGCTTGACTGGGGAGGGAATCCTCATTGTTTTAACTGAATTGTTTCTGAGTTAGTTTGAGCCCTAGTCAGCTCTCTGCAGTGGGTCTGGTTTCCCCTGCATTCCTGGGCAGGTAACTTCACTTAACCCTCATTATTGTGTCAGAGTTTATTTTTCTTTTATCAAGTGGGAGAGGAAAACTGCTTGAAACTAAGAGAAGTTGAGGAGTAGGGCAGAGGAAGTTCTCCAAGGTCTTTGAGGGAGTTGAGAGTTTTCCTCAGGAGAGTAGTTCTTGGGACCAAGGCTCAGGTCTAGATCCCTAGTCCTCTTCAGACTATTCAGGTGCTAGGAGCTCATCCTCCTGCTGTAGTAGGATGGTGTTGCCATCTCTTGTCCAAATGTCTCACCTTCCACTTATTTGTCTTTTTGTTGCTGGGCAGCAAAACGTTTCAGAAGTGCTGGTGAAGGCCATTTTCTTCACCAGCCATATTGCGTGATTGAGGCTAAGTGTAAAATCCAATAAACAACAGTGAGTAGGAATAGATTGTATAGTAGTAGAAAGCTAAAAAAAAAGTCCTGCCTAAGTTTTTTGACCTCCTCATCAAGAGATGAGTAATGTTGGTGGCAGAAGGACAGAGCTTTAGGAAGATATGTCCATGCAAGAAGCCTGGGAAGACCTTGGCAAGACTGTAGTTGGGACAGATTGGAGTGTCTGTCTGCTCAGAAGCGTGAGCCATATGGTGCATATCACACCTGTGCGACACAATCTGCACTAGCTGCCCACTGTTTCCAAAACAGTGATTTTTCCGCTTTAGGTGAATTATGCATTTAATATGTTGATGTCTGGCTATTGGTGGTATAAAAACACTAGTGACCATTTGGACCTGGCTTTAATTGACCTCTAAGGGAGGGGAGTAGCAATCTCAGTTGGTTGTACTTAGGAGAGGAGCAAGCGTGTACCCTTTTGCTGATGCCTTGAGGCTTTTGGACATTTTCCCCAAGACGGAGCAGCCCTGTATGGTTTGAGCTTTTACTAATCTCCTATCGCGCATCTGGACCTCTCATGCTCCTGCTTAGCTTTTGCTGATTGGAAAGAACTTAGCACAGTGTCTAGCACATAGTAGGCACTTGGATAGTATTTTTATCATTATTATTTTTTTACCGGTTGCTGTGATAACTTCAGGGTGCTCCATTTCCAGTTCTTACCATTCTTTCCCGTTGAATTAACATTAATCTGACGGGCACAAATTAGAAAATACTTTGTATTCTTTGGCATTGTGCCAAGAATATTTATTCTAAAATGATCATTTCTCTATTTTCTTTATTTTTTTTTCACTCTCATTTCTTCAACTTTATTCATGTTGTTTGGTTCTCTGAGGCATAATTTTGCCATTTTGAAGATATTTTCCCTAAGTTTCTGAGTATGATGTTGGCATTGGTGGTGGTATGAGTGGGTGAGAGGTAGGAAGGTGGTAGGGGGGTGGTTCCTAAGGAATATGCTATGAATTTCTGAAATAGGGTCTTGGATAGCTTTTTCATCTCCCTAATTGAGTCCGAAAACCTTGAGTCTGGTAAATAACTCTGAAAATAATTAATTGGGGACATCTAAATATCTTCTTCAGAGAGATTAATTTGTATGCTCCTGCTGCTTCTTTATATGTCACTTTCTCTGCTCACCTGTGAGTCTGGAGAACCCAGACCCAAAGGTAGCATTAATCTTTGGAAGCGACATGGGGAGTGGGTGGGGGATTGATGACAAGGATGACACCGTCAAGTAAGGGGAAAGTTCCAGATTGTAAATGATTTTCTCTAACCTGTGTTCACATTTGATTATATAATTACAGATTAGCTTGGGGGCACTGTTTAAATCTATTAGATTATTATTCTGTTAATATTGACAGTTGGATAGTATAATAAGAATTTCTATTTTATTTTTTAATTAAACTCCCTGAATTTTAATCTCAGTATATTTTTGTCTGTTCTCATTTAGGATGATAACTGGGTGATTTATTTTTCCTGTAAATGCTTCAGTTACAAGGAAGGAGGGACTGGTACAGATTAAGGATAGAAATTCTTCTGCTTTTTTTTATCTCTATTTGCTTGTGTGAAATTTGGCCAATCTTCGTATCTTTGCATTTAGTTAATCACAATGGCTGGGTTTAGCCACAAATGAATATGATGCATGGCAGGATTGTGCTTTAATTTCATTTTAATCGATTGATTAATTCCTTGGAGCCTCTTAATGATTTCAGCACGCTCTCACAGCTGGATGGTGGTATTGGATCCTATGAAGCCTGGTGGACCTTACAAGGTGATGGCACAGCAGACTTTCAGGAGGAAGAACATCACCCTGAGAGTTCATGATGTCTTATTTGGAGATGTCTGGCTTTGCAGTGGGCAAAGTAACATGCAGATGACGGTTTCCCAGGTAATTTGTAGAGGCTCAGTGTTAATAAATAATGTTGATGATGATGAAGAAGAAGAAAAAGAAGGAAGAAGGGGGCAAGAAGGAGGTAGAAACCTTCTTTTTTACCAGGGGCCAAGATCTGTGCTAAGTGTTTGGCATGTAATAATTAATTTGACTTAACAACTTTATGAGATGAGTACCATTCATCTCACAGATGAGGACACTGGCCCGCGGAGGTTAAATTACCTGCTTAAGGTCACACAGTTAATAGAGGATCCAGGTAATGTGACTCCAGAGCCTGCTTTCTTAATCACGCCTAGTGCACTGTAAGGGTGCGGGGCACTCTTTCCTCCCCTTCCTGAGCTAAAGGCAGAAGCTGGAGTACCTGATGGTCAGGCAGATTTCATATCAAATTGAAGACAAAGTAGATTACTCTTCTTTATGATAGGTTTTAGAAGATGAGCTTCTGGAGAGAGCCTAGGAAATCAAAACAATTAGATTTGTTTTAAGCTCTGCATCTGATAGAATACATGTCTTTTGTTGTCATGGAGATTTAACAAATTTTTGAGACTGAATGTTGGCTTTGCCTTTTACCAGTTGTATGACTTGGAGTAAATCACTGTATTTCTGAGACTTTGTTTTCAAAACATGCTTTTTAAAACAATCGTGGTTAAAATGAATATAACATCATATTTATCATTTTAACCATTGCTAAGTGTACAGCTCAGTGGCATTAAATATATTCACAGTCCTGTGTATACCTGTCACCAGTATCTATACTCAAAATTTTTTCATCATCCGCAACATACACTCTGTGCCCATTAAACAAGAACTCCTCCTTTTCTTCCGCTTCTAGCCCCTGCTAACCTCTGTTCTGCTTTCTCTCTATGAATTTGCCTATTCTTGTACCTCATTTTTCAGTGTACAAGTCTCTTACCTCCCTGGTTAGATTTATTCCTAAGTATTCAATTCTTTTATCTATCTATCTATCTATCTATCTATCTATCTATCTATCTATCTATCTATGTATCTGTGTAGAAATCATCTTTCTTTCTTTTTTTTTTTTAGATGCTATGGTAAATGGAATCATGCAATCTTTGTCCTTCTGTGTCTGACTTATTTTACTAAGTATAATGTTTGCAAGTCTATCCATGTTGTAGCATATATTGAAATTTTGTCTCTTTTTATGCCACGTTTTGTTTATCCATTCTTCTGTTGATGGACGCTTGGGGGGTTTCTGTCTTTTGGCTCTTGTGAATGATGCTGCTATGAATATCGTTCTACAGATATCTGTTCCAGTCCCTGCTTTCAGTTCTTTTGGATATATACCTATGAGTGAAATTGCTGGATCATCTGTTAGTTCTATGTTTAACTTTTGAGGAAGCACCAAACCATTTTTCCATAGTGCCTGTACTATTTTATGTTCCTACCAGCAGTCTGCAAAGGTTTCAATTTCTTTAACACGTGTTACTTTCCAGTTTTTTTTTTTTTTAAGATTTTATTCATTTATTTGGCAGAGAGAGAGAGAGCACAAGCAGGGGGAGCGGCAGGCAGAGGCAGAGGGAGAAGCAGGCTCCCTGCTGAGCAGGGAGCCCGACGCGGGGCTGAATCTCAGGACCTTGGGATCATGACCTGAGCTGAAGGCAGATGCTTAACTGACTGAACCACCCAGGCACCCCTTTTCCAGTTTTTTTTTTAATTAAAAAAATTTTTTTTTATTATAGCCTCAGTAGTTATGAACTGGTATTTCATTGTGGTTTATTTGTATTTCCCTAATGATTAATGATGTTGAGTGTTATTTCATGTACTTATTGACCATTTATATATCTTCTTTGGAGAAATGTCTGTTTGAGTTCTTTGCCCATTTTTCAATTGGGTTGTTTGTTGTTGAATTGTAGGAATTATTTATATATTCTAGATATTAATCACTTTTCAGATATTTGATTTGCAGATATTTTCCCATTCTGTAGGTTGTCATTTCACTTTCTTGAGCGTGTCCTTTGATACACAAAAGTCCTTAATTTTGGTGAAGTCTAGTTTATTAATTAGTTATTAATTATAGTTTATAATAGTTTATTTATTATTTTTTTGTCATCTGTGCAAGAAATTGTTGCCAAATCCAATGTCATGAAGGTTTGCCCCAATGTTGTCTTCTAAGAATTTATAGTTTTAGGTCTTTGATCCATTTTTTTGAGTCAATTTTTATATATGGTATAAGGTGAAGGTCTAACTTCATTCTTTTGCAAGTGGATATCCGGTTCTCCCAGCATCATTTGTTGCTTTCCCCGTTGAACTCATGGAATTCCAACTGACCATGTATGTGAGGGTTTGTTTCTGGGCTTCTTCTTTTATTCCATTGATCTATATGTCTCTGCTTATGCCAGTACCATACTGTTTTAGTTACTGTAGCTTTGTAGAAGGTTTCAAAGTTGGGAAGTATAAGTCTTCCAACTTTATTCTCCTTTTTCACGATTGTTTTGGCTATTCAGGGTCCCTTGCAATTCCATATGAATGTGAGGATATATTCTTCCATTTCTGCAAAAAAGCTGTTGGAATTTTGATAGATATTGTGTTGAGTCTGTAGATTGCTTTGGGTGATATTGATATTTTAATGGTGTTAGCCCTTCCTAATATGAAGGGATGTTTTCCCATTAATTTAATCTTTAAATTTTTTCATCAGTGTTTTACAGTTTTCAGTACATACATCTTACCCCCTTTGCTAGAGTTAGTCCTAAGTATTTAATTCTTTTTGATACTATTATAAATGAAATTTCTTTCTTAATTTCCTCATAAGACTGCTCATAGCTGGCGTATAGAAACAAGGGATTTTTGCATGTTGGTCTTGTATCCTGAAACTGCTGAATTAGTTTATTAGTTCTGGTAGCTTTCTTGTGGATTTTTTGGGGTTTTCTAATATAGGGGCATATCTTCTGTGGATAGAGATAGTTTTACCTATTTGGATACCTTTTTTTTCTTTTTACTTGTCTAATAGCTCTGGCTAGAACTTCTAGTTGCAATACTGAATAGTAGTGGTGAAGACAGATATCCTTGTCTCGTCCTGGTTTTAGGGGGAAAGCTTTCACTCTTTCACCACTGAGTGTGATGTTACTTATGGGTTTTTCATAAATGCCTTTTATCATATTGAGGAATTTTCCCTCTATTCCTAGCTGTCTGAAAGTTTTTTTTTAATCATGAAAGTATGTTGAATTTTGTTAAATGTCTGAGACTTAGTTTTCATGACTATACTACAATAGTGATTGTATCTGACCTAATTTACAAAGATTGAATTACTGTGTTTGTTTCTAAAAGGTCTTTATAAATTGAAAACTGCTGTCTAAAAATAAGATGTCACTATTTTTTTTTAACTTTTTATTATAAAAAATTTCAAGCACACACAAAAGTTAAGAGACTTATACACTTGGGGCGCCTGGGTGGCTCAGTCGTTAAGGATCTGCCTTCGGCTCAGGTCATGATCCCAGGGTCCTGGGATCGAGCCCCGCATCGGGCTCCCTGCTCAGCAGGAAGCCTGCTTCTCCCTCTCCCACTCCCAATGCTTGTGTTCCCTCTCTCTCTGTCTCTCTCTCTCTCTCTGTCAAATAAATAAAATAAAATAAAAAAAGACTTATACACACCTATATACCCATCACTTGGATCGACAGTTGTTAATATTTTGCCATATTTGCTTTGTCTATTTATGTGTGTGTGTGTGTGAACTATCTCAAAGTAAGCTATAGACATCTTGGTACTTCAGTTAGGCACCATATATATTCATATATCAAATTAATAGGTTTAGATATGTTTGTTCTTTACACAGAAAGGGGAAATAATAGGCCAGTGATGACTTTTTTTGCTCAACTTTTTCTTTTGTTGGCATCAGTTCTTCTTTCTCTGTTTCAGTCATGGTCTTTGAAGATTAACTGTTCTTAAATTTTGAGACCTCCCATTTTTTTCTCCTCCTTTATTATAATTATATAGAGGCTTCACTAGCTATTTACCCTGCTAGAATGTTGGGTGGAAGAGCACTGTGTAGGCTTCCAAGGAGGGATGGGGCACATAGAGTACATGGAGAATCAAGTGGGACAGAACAAGGGAATACTGACTTGCCGATGTGTTGGTCAGTGATGAAATTCACTTTGAAGGGTTCCTGTCTTCGTTGCTATTAGAGAATAGGGCCCCTCTGATAGACTATGAGTGAGGTCTCTTAAGTAAAGCTGGATAAAAAGGACACTGGAAAAAGTTGCCGAGGAAAACATGCCTCTTACTTTGGTATTCTAGGAAGGTAGCAGCGGTAGCACAAAGCCTTGGTGCTATATGTCTTCAGCACTCAGCTTTCTTTTTAAAATCAGCTCTACTTTCCAAATTAAACCCCAAAACTGTCTAGAATGAAGAGGTTGGATTTCTGGATAGGGTGTGATGGGGTTAGTGCTTTGGGCCTCAGAATTGTCCTTGCTTCGTTTGTTTGCTGGAAGCTATCTGATTTAAAAATAAAAGTAAGGGAGACTGTTGTGGTTTCATTTAAATTGAAATCAGGGCTGGACAGTGTATTAGCAAGTTCATAGACATATTGAAACTATATCCACTTAAAATATTGCTGAAAGAGGAGTAAAGATTTTGTGTGCAGTATCAGAACTTCTGAGAAATTAGTCTGACTTAAGTTCTTTGACACATGTGAAACTGGGATTGATTTTCTTTGCTTATCTGTATGTCCTTTAATGAGCATGAAATAACGATAATTTTTTATTTTATTTTAGTTTTTAAAGATTTTATTTATTTATTTGACAGAGACAGAGACAGCGAGAGCAGGAACACAAGCAGGGGGAATGGGAGAGGGAGAAGCAGGCTTCCCGCTGAGCAGGGAGCCTGATGCGGGGCTTGATCCCAGGACCCTGGGATCATGACCTGAGCCGAAGGCAGGCGCTTAATGACTGAGCCACCCAGGCACCCAATAACTATAATTTTTTTTAAAAAGCTATAAAAACAGGAAACTGATACTGACTTAACTAATCTCTTAAATATTTATCAAAGGCACAGTTTACAATAGTCATGTTATATAAACAGGAATCATAGGAATAAATTCTTTAATTTGCATTATGGATTGGCATCGATATGTTCTGCATACTTTTTTTTTTTTAAAGATTTTATTTATTTATTCATGAGAGACAGAGGGAGAGAGACAGAGAGAGAAGCAGAGGGAGAAGCAGGCTCCCAAGGAGCAGGGAGCCCGATGCGGGACTCGATCCCAGAACCCTGGGATCATGACCTGAGCCGAAGGCAGACGCTTAACCATCTGAGCCACCCAGGTGCCCTGTTCTGCATACTTTATTTCCTTTAATTGGCTAAGAACTTGAAAACATTATTGTCTTCCTAGCTCTTCCTCTAAAACTTAATTTCTTCTCAAGTTGATTTTTATTTTCCTGCAGTTCACTCATTATTTACTTATCCATTTTTGAGAAATACTTAAATTTGAGATTTAAAAATCTCTGTGATGACACTGTGATCTCAATTCATTTATCTTAAAAGAAAATTGTAAAACTGAGTCCTTTCGTATACCTTAGGATTTCTTGTTTTGCTTCTATTGCTTCTACCCCTGATTGCTTTTTTTCCTTTTTTGTTTGTTGACCAGTTAGTAGATAATGCTACTAAGAAGATCCTACTCTGGACATATCTACTTCATTTTTTTATTAGTTTTATAATTCAGAATCTAAATTCTTGCATTTATGTCTTCATAACCGGTATCTTATTTACTCTTGCTTCCTGCCCTGCTTAAATATATGGACACCTTTGAATTTAAATGTTTATTAAGGTGAACTTTAATGGGACTCCCTTTTAGCACCAGTGAGTGGAAGCAAAATTGAAGTTTTATATCTTGAGAGAAAGCATGGTTTTGTATAGAAGTGGGATTGCTGCTAACTCACTAAGGAAAATAATGCTTTCCTTAATGTTTTAATTGTAGTTCCCTGTTTGCACAGAAAGCCATGGACCAGATGTGTTTGTATCTATACAGTCAGGTTCTCAATAGCTGTCTATGCCAGGGGATCTCATCCCGTTTTCTGTCAAGCTGAATCAGATTTTGATATTGTTAAGAGTGAACACATTCTCTCTGCCTAGAATTTACTCTTACGTGTCTTCTGTATTAGACTAAGGCTACAAGCTCTGAGATATAGGATGGAAAAAAGATTCCCTCTGACACAGCTAAGTGTTAATTTTTAAAATTTTTTTTGTTTTAAATCATGCACTTAGTTTGCAAGACAACATTTTAGGTGCTGACAGTATCCAAAGCCTAGTTTTCCAGTCTCTTAACACTCTGCAGAACTTTATTTTTTGATCAAAAGGATGCTTTATATGACTTGTCCTTTATCCCTTTTGCTCCTTTTCCTCTAAAGACTCCCAGCAAGACACACAGCACACACATACACACGTACACACATGTACACACATGTACACACACGGTGTCTGTCTCTTCTCTTTGCCCCCCTCCACGTGACTTTTCTGAGGAGGTAAGATTTCTACTATAACCTACCATTCTTCACATTCAAATGAAGGGAATGGCAGATTGTATGCCCATCTTGTTGTTAGGGTAAAGTGGAATTTTAAGATTGAGTGTTATTTATAACGCTGAGTGAGATGTGTATAAATGGAGAAAAGTCTCAATGTTCATCTGTCGCCTCCTAAGTCAGGGTAGGTCTTAAGACTTGGATATTTCTAGTTAGGCTCAGAAGAAGTTGGCCACTGTTAGACAGGAAACCCAGTTTTCAATATCTTGGCAATCCCCACATTCCTACTTTACACGTAGAGAAGTCAAAATCCAGAAGAAAAGGGCTGGTACCATATAACAATAAAAGATTCATGGGAGTTATGATGGCCGGCTTATTCATAGTTATTCCCTCAACTTCAAAACTGTTCTATTATACTGTGGTAGAAGGGACTATAACTTACAGAGTCCAAATTCTTTTAAGTAAAGTTCCCCCATGTCCCCTGTGCGCACGCACACACACACACACTCTCTCTCTTTCTCTCTCTCTCTCACACGTGCCTTGCTCCCTCATGCAGACCCCATGCCAAGATTCTCTGAGGAAATAGATTCTTGACGTTTCTTCATTAATTCAAGAATGTGGCATAAAGGTTACAAAATGAACACTGGGGAGCAGCTGCTTTGATGGTGAACTGCGGGTCCCTTGAGAGCCAGTGGTTCTCCCTCTCAGCCTCGGCAGCCTTAATGACTTCAAATACCTTGGTATTCATTTACATCCTCATTTAAATACTTGGTAGAAAAATAATTACACTGAGGTGTTTGATGAGATGAAATTTGATCTCAGCAGATGGAGGAAGCCTTCCCCTTTCATCAGCAGGGAAACCAAGTGTCATTTAAATGAAAATCTTCCTGAATCTCTTTATTCCTAAATTTGCTGCCAATATCCCTGAGGAAATGCTTCCATCAAGAAGGCTTGGTGATATTGGGAAAGGGTACCAATTTCAGAAGTAATTGTCATCAGGTAGAGCAAGAATTCCCCCCTCCCCACCCACCCAGCCCCATTTTTAACACTTGCTGTGGCTTTCGAGTTTTGGCTTGATATAGTACACAAATGTGAGTTTGAGAATGGAAGTTTTTCCCAGCCAGGGTTGGGGATCCAGTTCCCCAACTTGCTGTAGTGTAGGAGGATGCCGGCCCCCCGACCCTGGCGGCCGTGCGCCGCTCTGCAGGGCTAGCAGCCGTCTACACCGCAAGTAGCTGGTTCGCCCCTTCCGCCTCCCCACGCCGGCAGCTCACTGCGAGGAGGCACTTGAGTTCGCAGTCAGTGCGGAAGCCGGTGTGGGTGGAGAGACGGGAGGCATTTTCACCCCCGTTTCCATGGCAGCAACGTACGATCCGCGGCGCTGAGAGCAGAGCGGATTTCAAGGGAGGTGACTTTTTACAGGTACTTGCTGCTGAAACATAGTTTTGCTGCCAGATTAGACTGTGAGCGCTTGAGCCTGTTTGTACTCTTTACTGTTTATTTTACAGTACGCTTGCCAGGCAAGACTGAACAAACAGGTCTGGATTTCCTATGGAATTTTCCCGAGACCGGCTGTCACGTCTGTCCCGCTAGCGGGGAGACCGGTGGCCCTGACCGGCTAGAGCGGCTGTTACGCAGGGGGCACTTCCGGCCGTGGCTTCCCCGGGAGACCCCGAGACACATTTCGTTTGCGGCTGGCCGTCTTCTTGGCCACAGCTGGCTCCGTGGCCAGTCGGAAGGCGATTGGAGGGGCAGCCTGTTTCGGCGAAATGCCCTGTGGGGGCAGTCGGCTGCTCGGCGGCGGTTTCTCTCGCACTGGGGGCTGGAGGACCAGCTGTGTTCCCTGTGCTGGGTGGGAGGGAGAGGGGGCCAGCTGCACGCTCTGTGGCCTGCGGCCAGTGGAAAGTCTCCAGCCGCCTGTGCCTCTCGCTGGGGCGGTCCTGTCAGCTGGGGCGCTCGTTCCCTGAGGCCAGTGATCACTGGGCTTCCTGATGCTCCTGCTGGCCCTTTGTTTGGGGAAAACCAGACCAGTCCAGGGGGGAGAGAGAGAAGACAAGAAAAAACAAACACACTACACATGACAAACCAAAACAGTATATTTACAATACGTTCTTTGTAAAAAAAAAAAAAAAAAAAAAACCTAACTGGAAAATCAGGATGGAAGGAAATAGCACTTTTGTGCAAGCTCACAGAGGAATGACTAACAACAAAGCTACTCAGTAGAACTCGTTCTCATCCAAGAAAAGCTCCACGCCATTCCTGTCATACTCTTGGCAACTGATGAGGTTTCTTAAAGGCATTTGGGGAAAAAATGATGTCTTTGGAGGGGACACTTTTCTTTGTCTGGTTCCTTGGGACTGCTCTCAGCACTCACGCCGAACGCCACCTTTCAAACTGCCATGCCTCCCATGCTTTTCTTGGGTGATTTGCCAGGATGAGATGAGAATTTAAGCATGTGAGACATTTCAGTATGTTTCAGTACTTCTACAGTCATTTCTCAGGTGTGTTCCTTTTGAAGACACCTCTCTTATGTGCTGTGGATTACACAAAATCTACCTCCTCCTGGCCTTTTGGGTTCCATTTTGAAAAGAACTTAATGCTATGGTTTTATGTTATGAGATACCTTTTCTGAATAAAAGTATTTTAGTTTTAAGATATTACAGTGGTCTGATAGTTGACCTTCTTCAGCCTAAACCTCATCTAATTCAGACTTGCTCTTTGAGATCTCAAATTTCACTGTGTTCTCCTTTCTTTGGGGACATGATTCCTCATGGTTTCAGTTCATTAAGATGCATCAAGGTGACTCAGACCAGCCCATCACTGGTTTTGGTTATTTATTTGATCAGTCTTGGTATATGAAGGCTCAGAAGGAGCTCGGAAGATTGGTAGTGTTTACTAAGAGGTAGTAGGACAGTTGACCACCCACTAGGTGGGTGTAAGAAATGACATTCCTGTTTCTTTCCTAGGTATTCAATGCCACAAAAGAGCTGGCTAACACTGCGGCCTATCAGTCTGTCCGCATCTTCTCCGTGTCACTCATTCAGGCAGAGCAGGAGCTGGAGGACCTTGCTCAGGTTGACTTGCAGTGGGCTAAGCCCACCTCAGGTAAGGGATCGCTGGAACACGTGCCAGCACCTACATAGTGGGTCAGAGCCCTAGGTGGAATCTGTAATTCTGGGTTCGCTTCTGATCTATTTAATTATGATTCAACCATCCCTTTACTCATTTCTTGTTAACTTTCCACCTGATTTCTGATGGTAGCCATTTCATGTTTCCTCCCAAGATTCCACCAGTGACTCTTCCCCCCCGTCTTGCTCTGAGCAGATGATGCTTCCTTGAGCTTCGCTGAACACACTGAGGCCCTTCAGCATGAGCTGGCATCTCTCCCCACTGCCTCAATGCTCTTCTCCTTTTCTCTCCCTTCCTTTGTTTCTGTGTCTGAACACAACGGACTGGGGTCCTTTCAGGGCTGCCTCTGATGCGGGTGTTCACCCCCTCCATGGCCTTCTTTTACCCCTTGAGCTCTAGTCTTTCATGCCCCTGTCCATTTAGCACAGAATCCTTATTTCCTGCCTATTCTCTGTTAGGCTTTGTGCTGGGCCCCAAAGATACAGCAGTGAGCAGTGCAGACACAGGCCCTGCTCTCAGATTTCGCCTTCCTTTTATTCTGACAAAACAAAGGAAAACCGTACATAGTAAACACCCTTCTCATGATGCCTCACCTCTCTCCTTTGCTTTCTTAATCTTTTCTAGGACATCTTTTTTTCTCATTCTTTTCACTGCCTTTCCATGTGTTCATTCTTTGTATTTTGGCTTCCGCTTCCGCCTCAACAACTCGCTCACCTCAAGGCTACTGCTGTTCTTCCAGTTACGCATTCCAGACACTCTAGCATTTGACACTGCTGACCGCACCTTTTAGGAACTGCATGTTCCAGGGGCGCCTGGGTGGCTCAGTCATTTGAACATCCAACTCCTGATTTTGGCTCAGGTCATGATCTCAGGGTCCTGGAATTGAGTCCCTTGTTGAGTTCTGTGCTTCGTGTGGAGTCTGCTTGGGACTCTCCCTCTCCCTTTGCCCCTTCTCCTACTCTCTTGCTCTCTCTTTCTTTCTCTAAAATAAATAAATCTTAAAAAAAAAAAAAAGAAACTGCACACTCCTCTTCACTTGCATGGTATCCTGTCTCCCTAGTTTTCCTCCTCTGGCTTCTCCCTCTTTCCCTTTGCTTTCTTCTCTCTCTCCCTCCAAATGTGGTCCCTCGTGCTTTTTCTCGTCCCTTTTCTTTTTTTGTCGTACCTGCTTTACTTTGCTAACCTCTGCTCCCACAGTTTCTTTTTTTTTAAATTCAATTAATTAACATATAGTGTATCATTAGTTGCAGAGGTAGAGTTCAGAGATTCATCAGTTGCGTGCAACACGCAGTGCTCATGACATCCCGTGCCCTCCTTAGTGCCCATCCCCCAGCCACCCCCTCCCCCTTCCCCCCTCCCTTCCAGCCACCCTCAGTTTGTTTCCTGTGATTAAGAGTCTCTTATGGTTTGTTTCTCTCTCTGGTTTCCTCTTGTTTTATTTTTCATTCCCTTCCCCTATGCGCCTCTGTTTTGTTTCTTTAATTCCACATATGAGTGAGATCATATGGTAATTGTCTTTCTCTAATTGACTTACTTCACTTAGAATAATACCCTCTAGTTCTGTCTGCATTGTTGCAGATGGCAAGATTTCATTTTTTTTTTTGATGGCTGAGTAATAGTCCATTGTGTGTGTGTGTGTGTGTGTATATACACCACACTTCTTTGTCCATTCATCAGTCATTGGACATCTGGGCTCTTTCCATTATTTGGCTATTGTGGACATTGCTGCTATAAACATTAGGGTGCAGGTGCCCCTTCAGATTACTACATCTGTATCTTTGGGGTAAATCCCTAGTAGTGCAATTGCTGGGTCATAGGGTAGCTCTATTTTCAACTTTTTGAGGAACCTCCATACTGTTTTCCAGAGTGGCTGCATCAGTTTGCATTCCCACCAACAGTGTAGGAGGGTTCCCCTTTCTCCGCAGCCTCATCAACATCTGTCATTTCCTGTGTGCTCCCACATTTTCAAGTGTTAATTCATTCAACAAATATTTGAGAACCTGCTGTGTGCTGAGTACTGTTCTAAGTGCTTCGGGGATGGCAGTGGATAAGACAGGCAAGAACACCTGATCTCATGGAGCTTGCATGCTCGTGTGGGGGATTATAGCAAATGAATAATAAAATCAGTACATTATATACAGTGTCTGATACTACTCAGTATCACACTATCTGAATTCTCCCTATGAGAACTCAGGAACTGAATTGATTTGGGTAAATTTTTGGATAAGTCTTTTGTATGTGTTATCCAAAACTCAGGAATCAGTTAGATTTGGATAATATATTTTACCTTGCTATCAACAGACTTTTCACTCTAAACTTGGAGACCGAATACATTTTTGGGTATGAAGGGATAGGGTAGATGGTGAGCAAACTAATGAGACAAAGACACATAAATGAAATACATCAGGGAAGAGGGTGCAGTAGGACTGTTGGGGCTGGGATGGGGTCGTGGTTTCCAGTGGAGAGCGGCCATGGAGGTCCCAACAGAGAAAGGCGAGGCAGTGCAGGTACTGGGGAAGAGCACAGTAGGTCAGGCCGCTCTTATATTCCAAATTTCTGCTACCTCTCCTACTGTTGTCACATCTCTCTGACTGCAGCTGGGAAGGTTCTGTGATACTAAGGACTCATGATTAGTTGGGAGCCACCCGGATAATTCAGGGCAGTCTCCCCATCTCAAGGTCCTCAACCCCAGTCACACCTACAAAGCGCCATAACCACATAAGGTAACACAGCCACAGACTGCAGGCCTTGGGGTGTGGGCATCTTTGGAGGGCTGTTCTGCCTTCCACACATTCTCGTTCCCAAGCATTTTCAAGTGGCTTTGTGGCTTTCTGCTTTCTTTCCTCCAAGATGTGATTCCTCTCCTGTCTTATCTTCCACTGTTCTCCTTTTATGGTCTAGGCTCTAATCAAATCCTTTCAACAGTTTTCTTACTCTGTGTGCCTTTTTACATGTTGTTTCTTCTGCCCAGAATACCAGCTCTTCATCCCCCACCTCTCTCCCCCTCCCCCTCATTCACCTTTTCCTTCTCCCTGCCCATCAGTGGATCTGCCTTTATACCAGCTACCCACAGCCACCAGACACCAGCCAATGAACATTTACTGACTCTCTGTTAGGTACTAGACACTGGGGATCCAGAAGGGAAGAAGATAAGGTTCCTGCCTTGGAGAAGCTAATACTCCAAGGGTAAGGGAAACACTATGCATAGAGTATTATGGAAGCACAGGGGAGAGGGGTAGGTCTTATTAGGCTTTTTGTGATGTGCCTTTCATTTGCTCTTCTTTCTCTTGCTGTTGAAACCCCTTAGCACTTGTTTGTACCTCTTGAGGCACTTAACCATATTTTGCCGTATATTTTATTCAGCTGAATGTTTGGCTTATTCTGTAGAATATAAGAGCTCTGAGGAGAGCCTCCATATCTCTTTGTTTACTGTATCCCAACCATCTAGAAGGGCCTGGCACCTAGAAGGTGCTAGTCAGTTTTATCTCATTCGAAATTGATTGGAATTCCCAGTATTACACTGTCAACTTTTTGAGTGCTGGAAATGGATTGAGTTTGGGTCTTTTGTAGTGCCGAGCCAGTGACTTACATGCAGTAGAACTACCGCGTTTCTGACTTCTTTTGTTTAACTTTTCCTCACCAGAGAACTTAGGCCATGGAATTTTCACGTACATGTCAGCAGTGTGCTGGCTCTTTGGGCGTTACCTGTATGACACTCTGCAGTACCCCATCGGGCTGATCTCCTCCTCGTGGGCTGGGACACCCATTGAAGCCTGGTCATCTGGAAGGTCGCTGAGAGCCTGTGGTGTTCTGACGCGAGGGTGAGAAAGTATCCTGAAGTCTGGGAGAAGGATCCAGGAGATTTTGTAAGAGAGAAGGATCATGGTTTTCTCTGGGGAGTCAAATATTTGTTGAATGTCCAAATAGGTATTGAATGTATGTATTATTGCACGAACATGTAATGTGTTATTTTCACTGTCATCAGCACCATGCTCATCTGAGAATATGTCAAGAAGCAATTATGATCCTTTTCCTTAATAATAGTAATAGCTAATACTTACTGAAAGCTTTCTCTATGTTGGATACTGTTGTAATCACTTTATATTTATTAATTCACTTAGTACTCCCAACAACCTCTAGAAGTGTAGATACTATTAACACAAATAATATGTGGATAAAGCTGCTAAGTCTCAGAGTGGTTTAGTAACTCGCTCATGGGTAAACTGGTAAGGGGCAAAGTCTGGCTTCAATGTCTGTGCTCTCAGCCACTGTGCTATATTGCCCATAAGAATAAACAGTCTAACAGGAAGAACAAATATACATGTAATCAAAGAAATTTATTTGATTATGAAATTCTGATTATGAAGGCACAATCAGGAAAAGCTGGATCTGGAAGAATATGTGGAGTGGGGGAGAAAGGAGTAGTTAATAAAATCATGACACTAATATTAACACAGAGATTAACAGTATGTGAACTGCTTTCACAGACATTGTTTCATTCAATCTGGGAAGGCCGCTGGGGAGAGGATGGACTTGAGCTCTTGGTATAGCTCAGGTAAAGACATGCCTGTAGGGAAGGGGAGATGTTCAGCTTTGGAACTAAGAGAATGGCCTGGGTAGAGTGGGAGGGATGTAAAGCCAGACTTCCCAGATCTCTGGGGACAGGAAGGGACGCCACCGAGTGTGTGGGGAAGTGGGCATTCTCATATATAGCTGTCATGAGTATAAACTCATATATGCGTTTTACAGAGAACTTTAGGAATGTGTTCAAAGCCTTGAAAAAATATGCCCTTTGACCCAGCAGTTTCATTTCTGGGAATTTATCTTAAGGACATAATTAAGCATATATGCAGTGATTTTAGGTATAAGGAAGATAAGCAGAAAGCTTAAAAAAAATCCAAGTGTCCATCCACTGAGTACTAGTTAAATAAATTGTCTGCATGAGATACTCATAATAAACACTCCTCCCCTCTGGTTTTAGTGACCTTATCTGGAAACTGGGATGGCCCCCTCTGGACTCATAGAAAGCTGACTGATACCCTTATCCCAGGAAGAACCTGGACAGATATGAAAGTTGTGGGCTGTTCACGTGTCTTCATGTGAAACAGAGTGGTTCAGTTTGATTCTGTGTTGCTTTCATCAGAAGTTTACCCCAAGTGAAAGCTGGATAGACACCCAGTTTCGGGATCATCCTGTGATTGGTCACTAGCTCTCTCGTGACACTTGTGAATCTTATCAATTGCAGGTTGATTCAGTCTGATTTTGTGACTGGTCCCAGTAAGTACTCTGTTCTCTGGAATGCCATGATCCATCCACTGCATAACATGACTCTGAAAGGGGTGATCTGGTACCAGGGTGAGTGCTCATTTTGCTATTTCTCTTTTGTATCAGTTAGCTTTTGCTACATAACAAACCACCCCAGAACCAAGTGACTTAAAACAATAATAATTTTATTTGGCTCACCATTCGGTGGGTTATTAGGGTAGTTTTCCTGTATAGACTGCTTTGGTTAATTTCTCTTGGGATCTCTGATGTGTCTTTGGCCACTTGGCAGGTGTCTGGTGGCTGGATGACCTAGGATGGCCTCTCCCTCCTGTCTGTTGACTGCTGGGGCACCATGGTCTCAAGTGGCCTCGCAGCCTTGAGCAAATTAGTTCAGACTTCTTTGTCATTGACATAGCAGTCTTAGTCTCAGTCTCATAGCATTCACTCAGCAGTGTCTGAGTGAAGCCCAAAGCTGAAGCACTTTTGAAGCCTCTGCTTGCATACCATTTGCTGGGGCCCCTTTGGCCAGAGCAGGTCACAAGGCCAGTCTAGAGAGACTGCAGGAAGGCCCACTCCCTAAGGGCATGGATGGTGGTTGGGGAGCAGTGTGCGGCCATGTTTGCATCGATCCCAAGCCCCTCTCACAATCTGGACTGTTTTTAGGGGAGTCCAACGTGAATTTTAACAGGGACCTGTATAATTGCACGTTCCCTGCGCTCATTGAAGACTGGCGCCAGACCTTTCACCGTGGCTCCCAGGGGCAGACAGAGCGTTTCTTCCCATTTGGATTTGTCCAGGTATGTGTTGGGGAGAAGAAGGTTTGGGGCATTGGTGTGGGGGTGTGCTGTGGAGGTCTCTTTCGTGGAATCCATATTCCTTTTTGTGCCCTCATAGTCTGCTGGTCGAGAACTGAGTGTCAGACTTAATTCATCTCAGTTCACTGATGGGACAAGTACATCTGCAAAAAAAGGTTAATAAGTGACTAATACTTCTTATTAAAAAAAGAATACATGTTCATTAAAGATATTTAAAAGATAAGCAAAAGAAGCTGAAACATTTCTAATTCCCCAATCCTGACATAAGCTGACCTCTTCTGCTTATGTGTTTCTGCAATGAGATCCATACCATAATACTGTACCATAGCGGGCGCCTGGGTGGCTCAGTCGGTTAAGCGACTGCCTTCGGCTCAGGTCATGATCCTGGAGTCCCGGGATCGAGTCCCACATCGGGCTCCCTGCTCGGCAGGGAGTCTGCTTCTCCCTCTGACCCTCTTCCCTCTCGTGCTCTCTATCTCTCATTCTCTCCCTCTCAAATAAATAAACAAAATCTTTAAAAAAAAAAATACTGTACCATAGCTTGTTTCTGCTCTTAATGTCATATTGTGAACAGTTTTTCATGCCAATAAATATTAATCTTGAGCACAACTCATAACGATTGCAGGGCACTTTGAAATCTGGTTGTATTCTAATTTATTTAACTAGTTCTCAGTAAATGGGCCCTTAGGTTGCTTAAACATCTTGCTTTTATAAGCCGCAGCATGTTTATTTTCCTTGTGGCTAAGTCATTGCATACGTGCTTAATTCTTTCCATAAGATAAATTCCCAGAAATGAAATTGCTAGGTCAAATGGAACGCTTTTTAAGGCGTTGAACATGTCCTCAAGTTTCTCTGTAGAAATGTATTAATTTGGGTTAATTGTATACTCAGCAGCTATGTGTGAGAATGCCCACTTCCCCACACCTTCCCTAACCCAGTGCTGCCCCTTCTGCCCCTCTACAGTGAAGCTTTGTTCTCTCACTGCCTGCCCACTGCACGCGTTCTTTGCCTGGAGCAACCTTACTCTCCCACGCTTTCCTAGCCAACTTCACCCTTTAGACCTCAGCCTGGCTATCAGGTTAGGAAGCCTTCTGTGAGTATTCAACATCTGGGGGTAGGTACCTCCTTTCCCCAGACAGATGATTTCTTAGCACCCTCTCCTTCCCCATGTTACTTGCGTGTCGGTTGCGCACATGACCACATTTTTCTGGATCACATTTACATCCCAGTACCTAACTGCGTGGCAGTCGTTAAATATGGCCTAACACATGAATGAAAAAAAATATCTAGAGAAATCATACTTTTAATGAACGGCAACTAGTCGGGAAGATTCTGCTCTCCTCCTTGCTGAAAAGCAATAAATGCATTTAACCAAGTTCATAATGATGTTGCCTTACCTGTTCCTATGGCCCCTCCAAGACCTAGACATCTTAGCAGGGTGGTCGTTCTGACTTGCCTGGAATATAGGAAATAAAACAAGTCAGGTGTTAGAAAACCGGGGCCCGACTCCCAGCATAATAACGGGATCGGCTTTAGTACTTGAATTGGACCGCATGCGTCCAGCTGTCTGGCTCTGCGTGGCCCACAGACACCTCCCGCTCGCCGTCCTCACATCTCCCCCACCCTGTCCTAGTTCACCATACCTTTTTTTGGATAAAGATTTTTATAGACCTTTTTTCCACTTACAATTACTTTACAACCATGTTCTTTCTCCTTTCTCACATTTGTTTTGACTTGGAAACAAGATGATTCTACTATTATCAAAATAGCAAGCCCTGTCATCAGTTCTGTGTTTCTGTTGGTGGAAACCCCATTTGGACTTTTGAGGTTCTTTTTTTGTCTTTGCTGTGTAGATGGTGATTTGAATGTGACTTCAGCCAATTCTAACCATGTGTTGTATGCTTATATGCCATGAATTGTGTGAGGTGCTAGAAATAGAGCATGAATCAGAGAGACCTGGTCTTTGCACTTACGCCTTTCCATGTAGTGAGACTAAGTCCCTTAGTCTCATGGCTTTAGCTGGTCATCATCGACAAAAAGCTGTTGGTTGCTTGTGGAAAACTGGGAATGCAAACATATACCTTCAAAGGGAAATATCAAATATGACAAAATAACGGTTCAGCACATGGATCTGGAGCTAGTCTGCCTGGATTCAAATCCAGCTCTGACTCTTCTCTAGCTATGTGATTTTTTAAAAAATATTTTATTTATTTATTTGACAGAGACAGAGCAGAAGCAAGGGGAGCGGGTGAGGGAGAAGCAGGCTCCCTGCTGAGCAAGGAGCCTGATGCGGGACTGAGTCCCAGGACCCCGGGATCATGACCTGAGCCGAAGGCAGATGTTTAACTGGCTGAGCCACCCAGGCGCCCCTAGCTATGTGATTTTGAACCAGATATTGAATAGGGGGATGATTATTTGAAGTATTATTTTTATATCTTTGTTATTTTAAGTATTACGTGAGTTGATCCATATAAAGCCTGGCACATGCCAGGTAATGTTAGTATTAATTACTGTCAATGTGAGAAGTCAGAAAATCTGGAGGGACAGTTGGTCTGCAAGGAAAGATGAATTTATAGAGGTGTTGAGTTTGAAATGATGGTTGCAATCGCTAGAGCACACAGCTAGAGATGTAGGACTGAGCTCAGCGGAGTTAGACACATGTATCCGAGGGTTATTAGTAGGGAGGTGACCTGGAGCGTGGGAGGGAAGGAAGAAGAAGAGGCTAGGGAGTCCCTAGGAGTATGCATTTTGTACAAAGGGTCTGGAGGAACGGTGGAGCGGACTGCGAAGTGCAGTATGCTATTGTAAAGTCCTCCGAGTGTGGCCATTTTTATATTCTGTGGCAATCGTATGCCTTCATTAGGAGCAGTATTTCTACTAATCACTGTGGGAGGCTGAACAGCACCCTAGCAGATCTCAGATCAGGGAAAACAAGAATTTCATTTGGGTATGGGGTATGCTGGCGCCTCCGTGTGGCCGCTCTGGAGTAGTGCAAGCAATGAAGCCGGCCAATTGCTGCAGGACTTCTCCCCACTCTGCCATTTTGAAACAACTTCCTTGGCTGGAGTGACTGTATTTAGCATTTCTCCCGCTTGTGCTTCAGGCTAGTACTTACCCTAGACTCTGTCTGGTAGCTTCGTTGCTGTGATCCTCATCATGACACTGGCTGGTGACCAGTGTTCCGCTTTCGGTCTTCCGGGTGTTGTGTGGGAAGAAGTAGGGTCACTCACTGGATCCTTTCACGAAGTTCCTTTGTGAAGCTTCAGCACCTTTTGTCATTTCATATGTTCCAGCAGATTTGCCTAAGAGGTTTTAATAAGAGAACTGGAAATGTCCCCTTAGTTCCAGATCACGTCCTTTTTACTACCACTGCAACCTCTCCAGTTTTTCCTGAGGATTTTCTAGTCTTTCTGGAACAGGTCAAGAAGCAGAAAACTTCCTGGGCTCAAAGCTTCATTTGGCCACATTTGTCGGGATGATCCCAGGTATTTGTTGGCTCTGGGGGTGAGAAGGCTGCGGGGAGCAGCCTCTTCACGATGTAGCTCCTCTCATGGGGACAGAAATTTTCAAATGGCGTCCAAAGACAGTGTGGTTGCTCGTCCGGACTGTTTCCCAGCTTGTGGCCTGGCTTACTGTTAGATCATGGTTGTGAAAGAGGGATAATGGGTTGATGCCTCTCATTGGCTGGACTGGGGCTAAGAATGATGTGTAGTCTAAATCAGAGAACAGGGTGATATAAATACCAGAGAAGTGAGGAAGGAAGAGTGGGACCACATGCGTCAGAGTAATATTAAAGAGTTTTCCTGGGAGCCTCTCCTCTGCAGGAGTAGGAGTCTGTCGATTTTAAGTCTAGATGGAAGTGTTTACTGAGGATGTTGCAGAGTCAGACAGCCTCCTACCACCTTTGCCGCTCCTGCACTGCTCTGAGGCGCCATCTTCTTTCCCTTGAAGTGTTGCCTCCTTACTGGTCTTCCTGCTTCTACCTTCTCTCCCCTTTAGGATAGTCTCAACATTGCAGTTAAAGTGATCCTTTGAAGTGTAAGCCACATCAGAAGGCTCCAGGGGTTCCTCCACATGAGCGAGGTCAGCAAAGTGACACGTGGTCTGCCGCTGCCGCCAGGGCCCGTCTGACCTCCTGTCCTAACTCTTTGCCTCGCTCGCTCCACGGCAGCTCCGCTGGCTGCCTTACGGTCTTACTTACATACCGGGCATACTCTGCCCTACGGCCGGCCATTTTCCTTTCCTTCTGCCTGGAAAGTTCTTTCCCTGGTATATTAGTTTTCTGTTGCTTCATAAAAAATTACTGCATATTTAGCAGCTTAAAACAATGCTACACACATTTCTTATCCACGGTTTGTGTGGGTGACGAGTCTGGCATGCCCGGCTTAGCTGAGTCTTCCACCCGGGGCTGCAGTGAAGGTGTTGGACAGAGCTGGGGTCTCAGCTGAGGATTGGGGTTATCTTCCAAGCCCAGGTGGCTGTTGGTGGAATTCGTTTCCTTGAAACTCTAGAACTCAGGGCAGCTGACTTCCTGAAGGCCAGCAGGAGAGAGCCTCTGACTTCTCTACCCTCTTACAATTCTTCCCTGACTTCCCTGGCTGAGTTGGGCTCTCCACCTACTTTTCCTTTGGTTATCTTGAAGTCCGCTGATAAGGGACCTCACCTACATCTGCAGAATTCCAAGCAGATGATGAGATGTTACAGCTTCTTCAGTGATGGATACTGTCCTTTCTCTGGGCCCATCCCCTGTCCAGGTGCTTACCTGCTTCCGTCATTTTGTCTTTTAGGTTATCTTATTCCTGCCCATCCCATTCCTGCTGCTCTGCTATGTCAGGCTTTTCTCTTATTTGTCTAGAATGTTCTCATAGCTGTTGAACCAATCAGCCTTTCTGCTGTCGGGCTCTTCACAGAATCATTTGCATGATCACTAGATTAATCCTTTGATCATGTCAGTTTCAGTGGCTCTCTAATTTCTAAATTGAGCTTAAATTCACATAAAATTAACCATTTTAAAGCATTCGGTCCGGTGGCATTAGTACGCCACAGTGTCCTGCAGCCATCCCCTCTGTGATTCCCTGTTGCCTGCGGGTAAAGTATGAACTCTGTCTGAACACTTGCCTCACTGTCTTAACAACATTGTCTTTCCTCCATAAACCCTCCAGTTCAGCTCGACTGCTCTCTGTCTCGCTTTCACAATTGCCTTTCTCTTTCTTACCTTTGCATATTACAAGAGTCTAACATATCCTGTTTTAGTGACTGCTTGTATTTTCTGGGCCCATCCCATTTATTTATTTATTTATTTATTTTTTACATATTCTGAGGCCCTGTTGTCTTATAATAATAAACTCTGTTCTAATGCGGAGTACTTGCTGTCTGTGCCTCTGATGTAGCACTTAATCCATGCTATTTTATATTACTATTTATTAACATTTCTTATGTACAGGTCTGTCCCCTCAACAAAGCCGTGAAGTACTTGTACCAGTTAGCTGCCGCTATGTAACAGATTGCCTCAAAACTCCGTGGCTTAACATAACATTTATCATAGCTCACATGTGTGGGTAGCTGGGGGCTGGTTGATCTTGGCTGAGCTCCACTGAACTCTTTCATATCTCTGTGGGTCAGAGGCAGGTGGGGGCTCTCACTCGGCTTGGCTGGAGTGGGTTAGATGAGGAAGCTCTGTCCATAGCACTCATCCTTCTGCAGAGAGCTGTGGGCTAGCCCAGGCATGTCATTCTCCTGACAGCAGAAATGTGAAAGAGCAAGTGGAACCACACAGGTCTTTGGAGGCCGAGGCTAGGAACTAATGTGCCGTAACTTCTGTTTCAGGTTTTTGACCAAAACAAACCACCTTAGAAAGTGGTGGGGAAATACACTCTTTCTCCTCCTGGGAGAAACCACAAAGCCAGACGGCAGGAAAGTGTGGATGAAGGAAGGGGTGAAGAATTGGGGTCTTTGATGCAGTTTGCCACATGCTCATGGGCAGATTCTTCTCAGCTTCCCTATCGTACTTAAACATGTTGTAGATAGATGTATCAGTTACCTGTTGCTTCGTAACGAACAACCCCAAAACTCAGTGGCTTTAAAATGTCAGCCGTTGTATTTGTTCATGATGCCATGGGTCAACCAGGCAGGGCTCAACTGGGATGGCTCAGCTCTGCTCCGTGTGACATCAGCCTGGCTTGCTCACGTGGCTGCAATTTGAACTGAAGGCTTGAGTGTTCATGTGACTGGCCCCTCGGCTGAGCCCACGGGGACATTAGCCCCTCTCTCTCCTGAGGATCTTCCAGTGTCCAAGGCCCCCGTCTCCAGGTAAGTTCTCCAGCAGGGTAGCTGGACTGTTTTTACCTGGCCATCTCCAGGTTCCAAGAGAATGAAATCCGAAGGCAGGGGCACTTGGGGCAATGGCTCAGAAGCCACACATCACTTCTACTGCATTTTGCTGGTCAGAGAACATCACAGGCTTAGCCCAGATTCAGTGGGAGGAGAAATAGACTCCACCTCTTGACGAGAGGGGCGGCACAGACACACTGGCATGTGGGGTGAGGGGTGTTCAGCCACAACAGTAAGAAGCTCACTGAGGACTTGTCAAATGGGCATTTGAATGAATGAAAGAAGCAGAAGCAGAGTCTGCTTCTGAAGAAGACTCCAGGATAGGATTCTGATGCAACATTCTCTACTTTCCAGTTGTCTTCATATCTGTCTGCAACCTCAGATGACACATTTCCCCAGATCCGTTGGCATCAAACAGCGGACTTTGGCTATGTCCCCAACGCAAGGATGCCCAGCACTTTCATGGCGGTAGCAATGGATCTCTGTGATAGGAAGTCACCTTTTGGCAGGTATGGGTGCTTCTTGGGCTTTGCTTGAACAATACTATCTGTTCTTTGTCCGTAGCCTTCACTCTGATGTTCACTTGTGAGGGGCAGAGAGTGGGTGCTCTAAGATCTGGACCTTCGGGGCAGTGTCTCTTAATCATTTACACTGGCATGTCCTGCAGTAACTAAAACCCTCAACATCTCAGTGCTTGATGCAGCAACATTTTATTTCTTGTTCACCCCACATGTCCAAAGAAGGTCCACAGAGGTCATCGGAGAGGCTTTGCTCATTAGAGTCTTTCACGGATCTGGAGTGACGGAGATTCCACGTTGATCCTTGCTTCCCTCACCTTCACGTCTCCCCCTGGTGATGGAAGTAACTTCTGCTCACATTGCATTGGCCACAACAGGTCATAGGGCTCTGCGGGGCTTCAGCGTGAGCAGGAAATGGGACCCTTTCCTGAGCTCAGGGAGGAATGGGCTCTCTGAATGGCCCCAGTGACCACCGCGCACTAGCTGTGGGATGCGAGTGGGATTGGCAATGAAATGGGGCCCAACACGTAGTGTCTGGTTTATAGTAGGAACTTGAATAGATACTTATTTTTTTTTTAAGATTTTATTTATTTATTCATGAGAGACAGAGGGAGAGAGAGAGAGAGGAAGAGAGAGAGAGAGAGAAGCAGAGGGAGAAGCAGGCTCCCAAGGAGCAGGGAGCCCGATGCGGGACTCGATCCCAGGACCCTGGGATCATGACCTGAGCCGAAGGCAGACGCTTAACCATCTGAGCCACCCAGGCGCCCGAATAGATACTTATTTTTGAACAAATGAAGATTGATTGATTGAATGAGTAAAACCTGGAGGGGACCCAGTAATGAACAATGGATTCAGATGAAACAGAGCGCTTTCAGTGGCTCGAATAATTTTGAGTTTAGCTCTCCTCCAGTGCCTTTCCTCCCTCCCGCAGGGACCTTTATTCCTTCCTTCGAAGTCATCTGCTTTTTCAAGGTTTCTAACCCACAGAAGGCCCAGAGCCCCATTTATGGTCACCATTCACCATGTCTCCTAAACTGAGGAGCCACTGATCACTGGCTATTAGATTCAGTCCACTTTATTCTTACCTTCCTAAAAGGTGCTTTGTATAATCCCCGCCCCCCTTTTTTTAAAGTGTGGTTACTGTTGAGCTCAAACCCAAAGTTCTCTACTTGTTCTTTGTCCTGTAGCATCCACCCTCGAGACAAACAGACGGTGGCCTACAGGCTGCACTTGGGGGCCCGGGCTGTGGCTTATGGTGAGAAGTTGATCTTTCAAGGACCACTGCCTGAGAACATGGAACTCTTGGCTGACAAGGGGCTGCTCAACCTCACATATTCACTGGAAATCCAGGTGCAGAGGCAGCACAATATATTTGAGGTGAGAAGAATAGTTGAAACAGTAGGCATTCATCCTGTGTGGGGAGTCAGGATTTTCACCACACTGAGGCCCATCTCTTTAATTGTAACATTTCTGTGAGGCAGAACTTGGTTTTTATTTTATTTTATTTTTTTATGTTTTAAAGATTTTTATTTATTTGACAGAAAGAGAGACACAGCGAGAGAGGGAACACAAGCAGGGGGAGTGCGAGAGGGAGAAGCAGGCTTCCCATGGAGCAGGGAGCCCGATGCGGTGCTCAATCCCAGGACTCTGGGATCATGACCTGAGCCGAAGGCAGACGCTTAACAACTGAGCCACCCAGGCGCCCCCAGAGCTTGGTTTTTAGTAGGGCAGAGTTTATCTCAGAAGGGTGGCTGAGTAGCTATTAATTCTTTCACTTAGTGGCAATTTTGATAGGACAGTCAAGGAAAGGAATTCACAGTTAAAATACTTCTTTTGTATTTTCACTCCCAGAGCAACCATCTTTGCTCTGGTGAGGGCCCGCGATTAATGTATAGGTTCCCTATTGAAAGATTCCTTACTCCCGAGTATTTCCCTCATCATTGGATATCTTTTTATGTCACACTATCCCAAATTCTGATATTCTTTTGAGTTTAGTGTCTCCTTTGAGGGGCTTAGCTTGGGGATTTGTAACTCAGTGTGAATTAATGTAATGAAACTACTTTCGTCTAGTACCTAGTGACGATCATTCCACTGTGGAACTAGGGCTAATAATGAAAGAGCTTATGTAGGGGTCTTCCACAGTTGGGAGTGCGGGGGGAGGCATTCCTCTTGCAACATGCCGATGAGTGTCTCTGGGAACCATGAGGCCATGAGGCTGGATGGGGCGGGTGGGCTGAGAAGAGGGCACTGGAGGGAATGAAAGAACATGAAAGACACACCTGAATTACACCCGAGTTTATATCTAGGGCTGCCCCTCCTCTGGAGCTCCAACTACCACATCCACTGGCCTCAGGGGCTTGGGCAGCACTTATGCCCCTGAGCTTCTTTGGACACTGGGTCTGAGGTAATTCTAGCTCCTCAGAAGTCTCCATGCTGAGTTCGGTTCTCCCCTGTAGTCAGTTGCTGGCAGTCTGCCTGTCATCTGGACCCGGAACCATACTTGGGAGCAGGACAGAATTTCACCTGTGGGTGCTGGATAATTTACGTCCCCTTCCTTGGATTGCTTTCTGGTTGGAGAAAGGCTTATTATCCAAGGTCCCTTTGTGCCCCTTCCTCGTTCCGTGGCTCCGCGGGGAGGCCAGCGTGCTCACAGCAGCCGGACTGCTCCACAGAGTGCTCACAGCAGCCCGACTGCCCCACTGGCTCAGGTCCCGCGTGCTTTGCCATCTGGTCGGAAGGATCACAGCAAGGACGTTCAGGGAAGCCTTCTCTAAAGGCTCTATGTGATTATGCCTCCTTGTCTCCCTCAGTCATCGAGCGGTTCGTTTACCGATTGATTGATTTTATCACCTGAACATTTCTCGTCACACTTTGGCTGTGTTGACCAAACCCAGCGTGGACTCAGGTTTGTTCTGGTTATCGTAGGCAGTGGATCCTGGGCTAAGCGTGGCTCCTCCTCTCCCTCGTCTGTCTGATGAGCAGTTCCCAGTCTCTTGGTTTGGCCTGGCCTGACTGGCCTCACCGTTCTGATGTTACGATTCTCTTATTAGATCTCATGTTGCAGTGACCATCAGTGCAAGTGGCTGCCAGCTCCCCTGGACACGGTCTCAGCCCAGAGCCTGGCCCTGAACGTCCGTTCTTGCCGTGGCACCCTGGCCGCCCTGCGCTACGCCTGGGCCACGTGGCCTTGTGAATATAAGCAGTGCCCCCTGTACCACCCCGGCAGCGCCCTCCCGGCTCCTCCCTTCATGGCTTTCCTGACAGACCTGAGGCCGGGGGCGCACCGCAGGCTTGCTGAATGACGTAGCGGCCTTACGGTCCTTCTCCTGGACTTCAGTGCGGGTCCTTTAGATGTGGGCATTTCGGTGTTGAAGTGATGACGACAGCTATTGCTTTTAAAGGCGACTGGTAGAAAAGCCGCCCTGGCTGGCTCCCAGCCAACACATGGCTGTTTCTAGATTCTGAACAGGAGATGAGCCAGTGCTGAGAGGCGAACGAGATGCTTGCCTTTTGTCCCCTCGTCAGCCTAGTGTCTTACTGGACTAATTCCCGCTACAAACAAATGAAGCCTCAGTGTCATTCACTTCCCTTGTGGAGAGTGTGAAGTGTCACACTTTTGTCACCTTACGTCCAGCGTTTGGAAACTCATGGCTGGAAGAGATTTCAAGGCCCGTATTTGTGTGTTCTTTACAGAATCTGGCGGGTGGTTACTGAATCTCTGCATAAAGTTTCTAAACTTCCCAACAGTTTTTCCTTATGTGGAACTGAACTCTTTCTCACCCTATTTGTGTTCTCTCGCAAGCCAAAACCGGTTCTATCCCTTCGGTCGAAATAATAATGTGAGTGTTCGAAACCAACCAGCCCCGTGTGCAGGCATGTGAGGAGGCGCGAAGGGGCTGCCTGAGGGAGGAGGAGATGGGGGCGTCTGGAGTGGCCCAGGAAGGTGCGAGGGCAGCCAGGGACGGGTGGGGGAGTCAGGCTCCGGACAACATGGCAACAGAGGTCACTAAGAAGCAACCAGGTTCAGTATAAATCTCAGGCTTTTTAAGGTAAGAGGTTTACCTATAAAAAGGATAACCCAGCTGGAAGAAAAAAAGAGGCTGAAAATAAAGCTCCACGATAAGCATTTAGAAAAATAATCCAGATGGGACAATTGTGAAAGTGCGCTCTGGGTGGACTGTTAAGAATCATAATGCTGCTTATTGATTAAAAACAGCTAACAGCACTTGATAATTGTGTCAGCTATTGGAATTTGGAAATAAAAGTATAATCATTAGTGGCATGTATACATTTATAGCCCATCAAAACTGGGTTAGGAACAGGTTTGTAAATTGTCCTTTGAAGCATGAGTAGCTTCCACTCCCTTAATGAGAAAAAGAACTAAAACAAGAAGCACCTGACCCCAACGGGCCCCGGGATAGCTCTGAGCATCCGGAATGGTCAGTGCCAGGATTTATTTCGTAGAAAACCAACACAACTATGCAGTCTGCAAGGAGCTTCGGCTCCTCTGAGGACTTCCTAGTGTACAATTAACTCCGAACACCCATACTTTGACCTCACATGCATCTGACCTAAGGGGAACCGCAAACCTAGGAACAGACTCCTGAGAAAAAGTAAATCTCCCCTCCCCTCTGCCAACATACGTGCACACAGGGGCTGTTCTAATTTGCAGGCGGCTGGACATGGGCAGGAACCCTATGCCCAGGCTCCTTCCTCCCCCAGTAACCAAGTGCAGCATGGGGGGAAAATTAGCTTCAGGTAGTAGATAAATTAATGAGAAGTCCTGTGAAACTTCATTTTTAATGGCTGAATAATTTAAAACAATCTGCAGGAATTCAGTTTATTTTCCAAATGAAAATAACTTTTTAGTATTTGAAAAATGAAATTTGTAATTATTGTAGATTTGGACACTAACAAAAAGAATAAACAAGTAAGAATCACCCCAAAATTCATCATTTGGCAAAACACATTTACTATTTTGGTAAACATGCGCTTTGATTTGCTTGGGTTGCATTTTACACACTACACGTCATATTATTTTAAATCTGTTTTTGACTTACTCTAGTAAAATAATTTTCCTGTGTAAATTGAATATGGCTTAAGTGTTTTAGTTTGTGGGACCCCTCTACTTTATTTAACCAGTTTTCCATTAGTGGACATAGAGGTTTGTTCTGATTTTTCCGTTATAACGAATACTGTGATGGATGTTACATGCAGACATCATAGCGCACTTACCTCCTTAGGATCCTTAATGTGGAATAACAGTTTTAAGGAAAGTATGTTTAAAATTTTGATACCTACAGATTTAACTCTCCTGAAGGGTCCAACGGTTTACAGTCCCACCAAGGTAAAGTGCCCACCAAGATACAGCATTTAGCCTCACTCCCACCGACACTGGATATTGTCAAATTTAAATCTTTAACAACCCAATAGATGAAAAGATGTCTTAAGTATACTGGCAGGGGGTGGTTCAAGTTTTTTAAAAATGATCTGCAGTAAAAACATTTTATATTTATTCCACATACCCCTTTCATGTGTATGCATGTAATTTTTACATAAATACATATATACACACTATAGTTGAAACCCAAATTTCAACGTTTGGACATGTGACACATTCTACTAAGTAGAAAGTTATAATTGTTTAATTTAAAAAATAGAGGTCTTGACTCCCTAAGTTTAGGAACAACCAATGGGTAGAGATCTGTAGTTTGAAAACCAGTCCTCCAGGAAGGCTACAAAGTAAATACTCTTATTAAAGCAAACTGCACGATAACCTATTTAAAAAACGTCTTTCTTAAAATGAGGCTCGTTTTGGTGTGTTCCACTCGGACCGTGCTACAAGGGGAAGACACTGGCTCTGTGTGAAAGCGGCTGGCACGTCTGTGCAAGTGCGCATGTCCAGCCAACTTAGGAGGCGAGAAAAGGAAAACAGCATTAACAGCTCTGAGTCATCCCCCTTTAAGCCCCTGGCTTGCTGTTATCCAGATTTTATTTTTTTGTACTGTAAAAGCTACGTAGACTTATAAAAAGACTACAGTTAAGAGTCATAAAGTTAACAGCGGTGACTTTAGTTTCGGATACTTCCGTGGCCACTGCGCTGTGTGCTCTCGGCGTGGCTGTCCGACTCTCCCTCCGCCGGCGCATCTACTCCCGGGAAACAAGATCCCCCTTCTTGCTGTCCCCAGCCAGCAGCTAGGAACTGCAGCACAGCGACGCCTGTCACCACTCCTTCCCCGGTTTTCCCCTTCTGGGGTCCTTCCGTGGCTTCCTTGCGGCCAGCGAGGGCAGCCCACACGGTTCTATGGTCCGGATCAGGCGAGGCGGGGAAGCTCCCCCTCGGCGCCATAAGCAGGGCCAACACATTCAGTTGCATAGAATACAGTCATGTTATTAGCCGGCTAGTGAAGTGACGGGGTGAGCCTGCTGCACGGGATGGGGGCCGCCCCCTGTCACGCTGTATCTCTGTTATCATGTGCACTCAGTGTATTCAGCAACAAGCACATTCTTGGATAAGGAACAGCAAAGGGGGCAGACAGGATTACAGAGGACTTTTTGATTCCCTTGAAGAATGTGAAGTGTGAAGGAAAAGACGAACGGCATGCCTCAGCCTGGCCTCTCCAGCTTGGGGACAAGTAGCACTGGGCTGTGATCCTAGCGACATGAAAACAGAGCAGCTTCTTGGGTAGCAGGGACCAGGACTTCATTCCTGGAGCTAGGAGCAGAATCCAGGCGCAAGGCTTTCAGACTCCTACCTCTCCCTCCCGAGTCGGCAGCCTTCTCTCACTCGGGCTTACAGAACACTAAGTTTACCTCAGGCAGGGCTAAGCAAAAAAAATCCTCATTACAACAAGATGAAAATAAGCAGATTTGTAAAGAGAAATTTATTGCTAAAAATAAAGCAGCTAAAGTTTTTCCCAGGGAACACTGTCACCACAGGAGTCTCCATGACAAAATGTGTTGGTATCTCTTTCGCTCCTGAACTGCTGTCTTCTTCCAAATTTGGAGTTTTAAGTTAAATGACGTGGTATGCGACCCCCTCCGGCTCAATCTAAAGACGGAGTCGGGCTACACTGTGACAGAGACTTCAGGTGCTGCAGATGAGTGTCCACCAGGGGTTCGTGCGTCAGGAACACGGGCTCGTAAGAAGACACGAAGGGTGTGGGCTGAAGCTCTGGAAGGTCCAAGGATCCTGGAGAAGAAAATTCCTTCAGTTCCACTGCTGCCTGGGAATCTCAGGGGACTGATCAAGACACACGGGTGTCCTTTCAATTCCTAACACCCTTAATGTCTGTCAGCCGAACCTTGCCCTTGTTTGATAACACAGGACAGAAACTTAACTTTTACAACAAAGAAAACCGTGGCCAAAATAGATTACGTGATTTGCCTAGGATTATACAGTATATTAGAGGGAGAGAGTGAGAATTTTAATTCTCTTATTTCCAGTCCAGAGTTCTCCCTGTATCACCCAAGGCCAGATCCCTGATTGTTCCACCCATTCGTGGCGGGGAATCCACCAAACACAGGCGGGACCAAGGCCATGACCTGGTCCCCTTTGCTTCATTTGAAATTTTAGTCCTGCATAGTGGACTCTCCCCTGGAGCCCCGCTTGGGTCTTACTTAGGTTAGAAAAAGAGAAAGCCTAATTTTTCCATGGCCCCGCCTCACCCCGACGGCAGCCACTCCCCGTGACTGCCACCAGCACTGCTGGGGAGCCCGGCAGGCCAGCCAGCCCGTCCTCGCGCCCGGGGCTCTCTCTGGTCGGTGCATTGGAGTTTCTATCTCTTGCTGCCCAGCTATTTGTAGTAGTCAACTCTGAATGAAGAGCAGAGGGCGGCCTAAAAACAGTCCATTTCCAAACCAGAAGGTAAAGTTAAGATACCTGGCAGAATGGGATCGCTATGATCTTCACCAAAGGCCTGTCTCTGAAAGGCTTCGAAGCTTACACTTGCATCATTCTCTGGCAGTCCTTGGGGCGGCTGCCCGTCTCCGGGTTTCCACACATCAAATTTCACCCACTGGTAACTGCAGGATCAAGGGGCATTGTTGTAAGGGGTGTCTGTTAGCCGTAATAACCCATTCTTACTTTCAGAGAGATCAGGTATTTTCTCCTCTAGGTCTCTCCCATATATATCTAAAAATCATATTAACAAAGTAAGAGAAGATTGGTGTCTGCAGGACTTCGCAACCCTTTTGCTGTCATGGTACTCACAGACATTGGTAATTCTAGTACAGTGGGGGGCTGGCTCCTGCTCAGTTGAGGCTGAGGACTAACAATGAGGCACACTGGCTACGGAGCAAG